ATCCTCCCCTACTGGTGCCACTTCCATCCAGCCGGTGGGTGGACGGCGGCCGGGAGCTTGACGCCGAGGAAGCCCTCCTTCTTCTCGGGGCGGCGTCCGATCCCCCTTCCCGGCTGCCGCTACCGCTCAGGGCGGCGGCTCCCCCACCCCTTCGCGACGACGACGACAGCACGACGGGCGTGCGCAGGGTGAGCAAGGAAGGCGCGAGGGCGAGCCTGCTCTCGGCGCGGCGCAGCTGCAGCCGCGGCACCACTCGAGACGGTCTTTCCGCGCCACCGACAACGTTGTGACCCGCCACCGCGCCGCGGCCGCCGCCGGGGGCTGCCGCCACCTTGTCGGCCCTTCTGCCGTCGACGCGGCCCCCACCACCTCGTCCCTCGGACGAGAGATGTTGACTACTGCCATGCTGCTGCCGGTGCATCTGCTGCTGCGTCCCCCCCGCCGCCGCCGCCGCCGCCGCCGCCACCTTCGCTGTCGCCGCTGTCGACGGCACCGCCGCTGCGGAGGCTCTACATGGCGGACGCCGGGCCGCGGAAGGCCGAGACGCTCGCGAGGTCGCCGACGATGCCGGCCGCTCGCCGCCCGACCCCGACCAAGGCGACGACCCCGGGAGCTCATCGCCTAGCCTCGCGACGCCGCCGCCCCTCGTAGCCACGACCGTTGTCGCGTTGGAATTGGTCTCTTCCCACAGGCCGCGGCCCTTCCCCTTGGGGCCCTTGCTGCCGCCGCCGGCGATCACGCCGCTGCCGGTACTACTCAAGCCTTTCCCTCCTTGAGACTTGGCTAGGGTGGCCAGGCGCTCAGCGATCAGTCCGATGTCCTGGCGGTTCGTGGGGTTCGTGAGGCCTCCGGTCAAGACCCAGCGGGCGAGCACGCCGTTTAGGAAGCGGGGGCTCCGGAATATGGGCCACAGGCGGGTCACGTTCTCTGCCGTGGGGTAGAGGACGCGGAAGTGGCCGGCCCGGTGCTGTCGAGACGGAAAAAATGGAGGCGTTTTCGGTGACCGCGGCGGTTGGCAAACGTTTAAGAACACTGGCTTATTGCCCGCAAAATGTTAACCATATTAAAGAAGACCGCAGCTTCGTTTCGTAGGTGGCTCGTCGAGGTTGTAAACGTGCGTGACCCCGCGAGTTCGGTGTGATGACGCTGGTTGTGGACAGGGGGTCGAGGTCGACGCCACAGAAAGCGTGCACGAGAACGCGAACTCACGTCCGCGAACAATGTTCTTGGAGAGAGCAAAATAAGCCAAGTTCTACGAACGTATCGATGCAATTTTTCTCTGGCTCTACGCAACCAAACCCTGCCACACCTACCACTGGGGATACCCCCGTGGCACATACAAAGACGTCTTGCCTGCTCGTCCTCGGTGTCACGAATGACTTCCCACTCCTCCTCCCCCAGCTCTCCGAGGTTGATGCTGGCCGGGGTCTGGCACCGCCTCCAAGCATCCTGCCAGAAGAATCGACGGGTCGCAAAAGTCGAGTTAGTCCAACAAGAGAAGTGGAGGAGAGGATAAGGTTGAGGGCAACGGTGCCACCACGGCACGCTCTTTCTCGGAAGAAGCTGCTGAACCAACGTGTCATGAAAGCACGGGAGGAAATGGTCACCTACTGCCAAGCAAGGAAAACAAGTGGTAGCGTTAAGGAATGATTTGCACGGACGACGAGTGGTGTGGCAGCCATGCAATACATGGTTCCACTCCAGCAAGCGACTACAAGTGCAACGATACACCAGGACCCACTTGGTGTGCGTCGGCAAGCCCGAATCCCACCCTTGGAAACGGCCGGGGCATCCCACAACATCTTCTCGATTGGGCAGCCACCATCTTACGGTTGGACGTGGAACGTACGACCCCTCGGTACGCTTTACGACCCCCCCACAGACCATGAAGCATTCCCAAATATCCTGATAGTCGCGGAAGTCCGCCTAAAGGAAAACCTCATGTTTGCAGATTCGGGGTTTCAAAAAGTGGGTCTCCGGCGGCGGCGGCGGCGACAAACATGTGCGCGCGTCAGCACCGACCTGAGGCCTGCCCGCCACGGCCCGGACGGCTCGCCTCGTCCCCGGAATGTGCTTGGCCTCCCTCCGCTCCTCTCTCCTCAGGGCCATGCGGTCGAACGGACGGAAGCCGACGAGGTGGAAGATGTCGGCCATCAGCGTGCCCTTGATTCGCCGGTCGAGCGCGCTGGACCCAAACAGGCTGCGCCGACGATGAGCGCGAGCGGGGGGGGGGTGGCAAACAACGTTACCCCAGGAAAGGAAACGCGCAAAAGAAAATAGTGTGGCGGAAGAACGCCTAGTGCTTTGGGCTGGAGGCGAAGCCACATTGAAGCCGTCCACGACGACGAATGGATTGCGGCAGCAAGGCGATGCCGCGTACGAGCTCCGTACGCCGACGACGCACGGGAAAAACCATCAAGGTCAAAGTTCCGGTCGCATCAGCCCAAAACACGTTGGAGGCGTGGATGAACCCTGTCGCTGTGTTATCACATGTGAAGGAGGCCGTGAACAACGGGATGGACACGGTAGCCACTGACGATCTCTACAGCAGCCCCCCAACCCCCCCCACTACCCCCCGCAGACCCGCCTCCGTGCACCCCCCACCTTGGGGAGATGTTGACCTCGAGCAGCCACGGCTTGAGCACCTCATCGAGGAGAACGTCGAAGCCGAAGAGCTCATAGCAGCACCCCCGATGCCGAGTAAACTGGTGCGAGTGGGTCGTCATGTCACCGTCGGCGGCAACCATCGTTCGCAGCACCACGTCCTCTATCGACCGCTGAACCTGACGCGAGGTCGTCCCATGACCCCAGAGAGAGACACACATGCACACATAGAGGGAGATGAGGCACATTTTTCGTTCTCACGTAGTACATTTTTTTTGCATCTGTTGTGCACATTTTGTGTATCCCAGTCTTGATGGTAGAGGGCCTCGCCGTCGTCAATCGGCTTGTCGGCCGCATGAGTCGTCAGTCCCCTGAGCGGTAATAGGTATATATACGAATGTGTTCGGACTCAGTCAACGTTTTGTGAACCATCTTCGCGAATGAATATAGGCTCACAGACGTATATAAAATTATAATCTTCATTGTTTGAAAAAGACCAATGGTTATGAGGAAACTCGGTAGCATATGATCAATGAATATGGGGGAATTTCATTGAAGACAGAGAATCAATGAGTATTGAGTACTTCGTATTTCATTTTTGCAGAAGATCGATTAAGTTTGAGATCAATGACCGCGGGGGGGTTAAATTCTATACCATGCGAGATCGATTAGTGTGTGTGGGGGGGTGCACTCATGTACTCATAGTCGTGCATGCCGTAGTCGTTAGACCATTGACCTCGCATCCCTACAAAGCCGGGACGGAGCGCGACGGATTCTCACCGGACCAGGCTCTCACATCACCAAGCGTGAAGCGCCGTGGGTATTCGGCGAGTCGCATGAAGGGTGCGCTGCATCCTGCTAAGGGTGTTCGGCATCTTGTGCTTACTTCCTTGCGTACGGATGACAGCTGCGTATGACTTAATTTATTTTCTGGTGCTTTGACTTCCAGAGACAGTTGTAGGCACTGTGTAACTGCCTCGAGGGTGCTTGACCATTTTAACACAACGTGGTGCGATCATGCCCCTTGCACGGAGTGAGGATTCTCCACCCCGTACAACATGATCTACTCGACCACCATTATGGTTACCGCAAAAAAAAATCAGAGGTAAAAAAAAACGGTAACCTGGTTGCCGAGTTCACGAAGTGAATTGGCTTTTTTTGCCACATCGTTGCCAAGCGACGAAAGCCCAACCCCGATGGCAAACACCGGGGGGCGGCGGCTTGTTTTAGCACATCGTTGCTACGAGACGAAAACCCAACCCCGATGGCAAAACACCAGAGGCGGGGATCGATTAGTATGGGGGTGCTTGATTGCCGCAAAAGATCAATGCCTAGTGGGGGGGATTTCATTAAATTCATAAGATCAATTGAGTACTGGGTAATTCATTGACTCCATAAGATCATTTGAGGACGAGGAGATTTCATTGGATTGATCCGATCGATGACTTTAGGGCATTAAAATATAAGCATCAGATCAATGCGAATGAGAAATTTCATTGTTTTGTCAGAATAAAGAGAATGTGGAACTTCATTATAATGCATTAATCAATTATTGGGGAAACTTCATTCAATGCATACCATCCAATGATTGGGCAAATTTCATTCACTGCATAATATCAATTGGGTATTGGGAATTTCAGTGTGTGCATGAGATTAATTGAGGGCGGGGAGATTTCATTCTATTCATAAGATCGATGAGTCTAGGGCAAAAAATAGTAAGAATCAGATCAAGGCGAATGGGACATCTCAGTGTATGCATCAGAATAACTAGTATGTGGAACTTCACTAACGAATATGATCCCATGATTGGGGACTTACAATTAATGCAAATATCAATGGCTAAGAGAACTATATTGTGGGCTTAAGATCAATGGGTATGCATATGGGGTATAACATTCTATGTATGATATCAATGCGAGGGGTATTCAGTGTATGAATACGATCCACCGGCATGTCAATGTATACATACAATCAACGAGTATGAAGGGATTCCATTTCGAGCGCGAGAGAAATGGTGTTGGGGTTAATTGCATTGCAACGTCCTTGTTGCATATGATCGATGGTTATTCGGTCAAATAGCCGCTGTTCTTGAAAGTGAATATCTCTACAGCTGCGGCGTAGGGGGCGGTGGGGAAAACGCCTGCCACGCCACAACATAAAACACCCCTCTTGTCCGTTCCTGAAGATTCATGGCCATCGTAGCAAACGAATACATTGAAGGAACAGTGTCGCGAGGTATACATTCATGTGTACGATCTCCCCCCGTGGCAAAAAACGTCGATATTTTTCGGACAACCAACACAAACTAGCACCGTGTATAGGCAAGGCAGGCAAAATGCATGTCAAACCTCGTCGGACTTCCTCTTGCCCAGAGCCTTCTCGAGGTACTTCCAGAAGAACGTCAGGGCCCACTTGCTCGCCGTAGTGGACTCCTTCGCTTCTTGGCCGTCAGAATTGTCCGGCCCCTAATCAGGTTTTTTCAAATATATTTTGCGCCACGGGGAGGAGTGAAATCGAAGCGATTCACAGGCGCGCACCGCACCAAGAATCTTCAAGTAGTTCACATGTTTGGCATGTTTCCCGAAACAAACAAAACAGCACAACTAATTAACCGAGAGGGCGGACGAGTCTTCCTTGCTACAACTTTAGTCTTGAAATGAGGGATCGCCACTCTTTTCGATTTGAAAACATCTGCTGGCTGTCCACTTTCAGATAGCTCTCTACAAACACGGTGCCACCCAACATACCAGAAATCAAGCGCGTGTACGTCTGATTGCTGCCCTATCCAAGACAAGCTCGAATTCAACAAGAGCTCTCGGGCGCTTGTGGATGTTTCTACGCATAGCAGGTGTTCTTTTCCGGGGGCCGTGAAAAAAGGTCCAGCACTACAGCAAAAACGTCACGCATGTACAAACGGAACAACGACCTTGGAATGGATTGTGCACCCGTAGCTCGTTCGTTGGACACAATACCAGCGCGTTCATGACAAGACAAGACAACGCGGAGGGTTCAGAGTCCGGCTCCCACAGCAACCGAACCGGTACGTTATCGAGGGAGAAACCACCGCGAAGGGAACCATCACCAACTCCCGAAATCGCAAGTCGGTTGTTGCACACTGTCACACGAAACAAGAAAAATACGGCACACGGTCAAGCATCAAAACCAAAACCAATCGCAGTACCCCAACAATCACGTCGAAACTGCCGTGCTGTCACTCGATTGGAAAATACCAACAACCTACGTGGTACTATATTTGCCGAACTTTCACTCTGATCGGAAGAGCGTTCACTCTGATGGGAAGAGCAAAGCCAGCAGGCGGAAAAAAAAAACGTGCACACCTGGAAAGACCCGGACTTCTTGTTGATGGAGTAGTTGGTGAGGTGGGTGAAGCGCGAGCGGAGGTTTCTGAGGCTGTAACGCTTCGTCGAGAACCGAACCAGCCCCTCCTCGAAGAGGTACAC